AGAGAGTCGAACGACAGCCTGATAAGAAAAATCTGCAGCTTGGGCAGCTTACTTTGCAAGGCCCAAAGCGCTTGTCGGTTGGTTTCCGTGCACGGGAACGCCACATTTGTGATTGTCCTCTAGGGTCTATACTACAGACCGAAGAGAAGCGTTCACACGACCTCTGCCTGGGTTGTGCCTTTAAGGCTGAAAATTACATTCGGCATACCATGATGGCACTATCATCGAATAACAGATTTTTAATTAAACTTGCTGTATCATAGCTTTTCTTTAACCCTTACTCCGTGAAAGTAACCATCAATTTAGAAATGATAGTCAGCCAGCTTACAGTAATCAGCTTGTAAGGGTAATATTCTGTATTAAGTTTTTTCACAGGGAACAATTTATCTCGGAACCAAATAAATAACATTTCTACAAGATGGAAATGCCTTACAATGAGCATTAGTGATCAAGACGAAATACATAATGATCGCGACCGCACAGAACCGATGTACAACCACATACAACGGCAAGTAATAGGGTAACTAGATGCATACTACACACAATGTCATAAATCTCTGGTTCAATAGAAAAAAGAAATGTAAAATGCAATATGCTGTCCTCACTAGCAATGGACTCTCTGAACCGTTTCAAAAAGCGAAAAGAAGCATAATGAATAGACCGGAAGCGTTGCAGCCGACAGCCGCAGCAGAAAGATGCAAAGAAAGTGCTGCAGTGGCAGGAGTACGCGACAGATCGCTTTGACCACATGAATGAATACAAAGCGCTTAAGCAGATACGTCACCTGTTATTGAATATGTGCAGCATACGAACGCTTTCAGCAGCAAACGTCGTATAAAGATATCAAAGTAAGTTAACATTGATCAATAATACAAGCACGTAAGTAGTGGAATGCAATACGAAAACATCATACAGCTAGATAAAACAGACATGGAAATGCGGGTGGACAAACAAGAAATGTAGTAGATGAAAGCACATCCAACCCGCTCTATTTGTGACTGAGCTTCTCCTTTTCTTTGAGTTCTTTGACTGCCTTTATGTATGGAATGAGACTGCTGAGCGGTTTCGCCCTTGCAAGGAACGGATGTCGCAAAAGTTCTTCTGTGTCTGCTCTAAAAACGAAAGAATGGCAATAAATCAAAAAGGTATGCGCAGGACAGCGGACGCTTACCTGTCCTCGGGTTCGACAACCAGGCAGCGATCGAGGAAGTCTAAGAAATCGGGAGAAAGCTGGTCTCGCCTTTTGATTTCAGGTTTTCCATTTTGGGCGATAAGGTAGATTGCCTGAAAATATGGAGCATATATAGAACTGATATTTCCATTTGTGGAATCGCTGGCAATGGAGAACCTTCAGTGGTGTTTCGTGAAGATAAGGAGGCTCTCCATCAATCATTTCAAGCGCCATGATACCGAGCGACCATATGTCCACCTTATAATTGTACCGCTTTTTGTTGAGAATCTCAGGGGACATCCAATATGGCGTTCCAACCACCGTATCTCTGGAAACTGATCTGTTAAAATAGCAATCACAGGTCAAAAACGTTGCAATCTTCGAGGGAATGCTTTTAATCACCCTGTACTCTGACAGACGCCTGCCATCTTTAAAAATAAGTAACTAATGATATTCATTTTCCGAATAAAGGATAAAGCATTTGCCGTTGATCAATCCCTTTTTGGGATGCGGCACGCATTCTACTTCCATTTGTACATTCGCAGTGGCGTTTGAATGCGATGTGGCCTATACAATGACTTGCGGGGCCAGCCGATGTACAAGTCAGTGTTTTTATCCTCCCAGACAAGTCTGGTACCAATTAACCGACCCCGGAGGGATGGAAGGCTTGGTTGGCCCGGGCGACTCACGACCCAGGATTGACCCGATCCCCGGACCGCTCGCGTGGTGAGCGTGCCACTTGCCACTACACCACTTCGATGTAATGGAAGTAGAATGCTGCGCATCCACAGACGGGATTGATCAAACGGCAAAATGACTTTATCCTTTATCTTTATTCATTTTCGCAATCTATCTCGGACTTCCGTTAAAGCTGGAATTGAAATATTGCAAGTAAACAAGCGAATCTAAGCGCGACTTTAAATTAAATAAAAATCAAAGCGGAGCAGCGGAGGCGAGCACATTGGTACGGTCGAATTATTTTCACAGCTTAAAACAAAACTTGCAGTCTAAGTGGAGTTCTATACGGCGCGTGCCACCAACCTCACCTTACATATCAAGGGTAAATTCGCTCGAGGCTTGAAATGAAATGTGCATTTCAGCGTTTCAAATAGTAGTTGACTGTAAGAGGATTCCAGGTGAAACTCCAGTTCGGGGGGCCACTCCATTGCTATCTTATCCGTAGTACTAGAGAGCAGTTCTTTGGGCTATCGAACACTACGGATAAGATAATAAGTGAACGACTCATTTCGAGCGTACTTTTGATAAGGACCGGTGGATGTCCTACATTCCACACTACCTGCCCACATCCCATCCACTTTTCTGCACAGGTGATCCACCCTGGAGCTCCTGCACCCTTAGCCCTTTGCGGAGGTGTCCTTTCTCCTGGTCCAGGACTGTTTCCCTGGACCAGACAGGCGAAAATATGAAATCATCTCAGGGTTTCTTCCACATTACACCGATACTTATCAGAAGTCTACTTTAAATGAGTCGATTACGTGTCGTGAGCCCTCTAATCCTTATCTTGAGTATTGGAGAAAAAATGGAGTGGCCCCCCGAACTGGAGTTTCACCCTTTCGCTATTTCATTTGGAACGTTCTGCTTAATCTGTTTCGCCTTATCAACTGTTTTAGCTATTAGTGCTACAATTGCCCTTCCGAAAAAAAGTGATGGATAGAATCTAATCGCTGCAGTGACAACGTGGTGGAGAACTTTGCTCTGATCATTGGACTTTTTACCATTTCAAGACATATTCCAGGGCAACGCGCATGTTTTTTTTTCATTTGAATATCAATAAATCACCGATTACTAGTAAAAGGAAGTGGTTGAAATACACAAAACACGGCGATCTGCAAAGGGTTAACAATGGATAACTTTCTACGCTCTTGCATGGACCTGACACTGCATGCAGATGCCTCCACAATTCAAAATGAAAACCGAAACCGTGGCGCATACTAGAAAGAGATCAATGTCAACAAATCTAGTGTTTGAGCAATGATTATAAAAAGGATAAAGGATAAAGCATTTGCCGTTGATCAATCCCTTTTTGGGATGCGGCACGCATTCTACTTCCATTTGTACATTCGTAGTGGCGTTTGAATGCGATGTGGCCTATACAATGACTTGCGGGGGCCAGCCGATGTACAAGTCAGTGTTTTTATCCTCCCAGACAAGTCTGGTACCAATTAACCGACCCCGGAGGGATGGAAGGCTTGGTTGGCCCGGGCGACTCACGACCCAGGATTTGATCCCCGGACCGCTCGCGTGGTAAGCGCGCCACTTGCCACTACACCACTTCCATCCCGTTTTGATTATGGTAATGACTATCCAAGGCACTAAATCAAAATCACCTTTTCGAGCCCGGTTGGATTTGAGCACAGAAACCCATGTCGGTGAGCTTCACCTGTCCATCCATTCCGAGCAGTACATTGTCGCTTTTGATGTCACGATGCACAATGGAATGACTGCAACAGGGGTTGATTAGATGAATTGATTTCTGTCATGTACGTTCCGCAAAATTTTCGAACAATTAATTGCTTTTTCAAAAAAAGTGAAGTCTTCCATGGTGGTCGTGTAAATTTCTAGACCACATCGCCCTGAATCCGCTGAAGCAGGTTAGAACCAGATGTGTGAGCAAAGCACACGCACACCTGTTCAAGAAATGTCCCTAATGAGTGTCGCTCAGCGATATCCACAGAAAAACACTAGAAAGGGGCGACGTGACGTGCAAAACGCTTCGTGCACTTTTATTGAAAGAGCGTAACGCGAATGAAAGACTGCTCTATAAATCACCGTTCCCACCAAACAGACTTAGCAGTGCATAAAAAACAACTGACCTATGCAAGAAATGAAGCGCTTTGACGCATTCTTTCAAAACGGCAGCTATTTGTCCCTCGTCCAGCTCCGTCTTCACAACAACGTCAGTAAGATTGCCACCTTCCAAATAGTCCATCACCACCCACAAATCATCAGCATCCACGAGATATGATTCGATATAGTTAACAACATTCTGCAGTAAGAAACAAAATTATTTTTTACAACTAATAATTCCTTTACAGCATTTATTCATTTACTTATTATTCTTCTATTTATCTATTCCAATAGACTTACTGGATGACGGAACTGTTTCATAACTTTGATCTCAGTTAGTAACATTTCCTTCTTCGGTTGTGTCTTAAAAGCCATTCGTTTAACAGCAACAACGTCGTTAGTATCATTTCGATTCGCTACATACACTGTTCCAGATGCGCTGAAAACAACGTAAAAAGTTAACAGTTCTATGAATGTTCTTTATGGAGCACTCAGTAACCACTGCAATTGGACACGGCTTTTTTTCGAAAATGAGGCCGTACAGCCAAGTAACAGCGGCTGATTCGAAGATAAACGATGTGGAACTTCTTGGGGAATGTACTTAAAGTTTGTTAGTGAAACATACTCCACCAAGGAGAATCCATTGGATGTCTTGATTGAATTTCTCTACAGAAATCTTCTGAACAGAATGGCTCCTATTGGCCAAATAATTAGCTATTGCATTATAATTATATTGCACTGCATCACAAGCGAATCGAAAGACCCATGTGCTTAATAAATAGCTATGCCAGCCGCTAAAACTGTTTTTCTGCCCATCTACAACCTTTAGAGATGTTTTCGTTTGGGAATCCTAAGGGTAAGGAAAACTAGGCCCGAGGTTGACGGTTAAGTTACTCCACATAGGAATATCCCAACATCGCTGATCAGCGAAGCATGCCTTCCACAACGAATACTGGGCGCCGAACAGGTTTTAGAAAAGCAGGAATTTCGCGGAATTTCAGATTAGCGGGCATATAGTGATACTATCTGCGACTGTAGTCAAGAAGTGGAAGCAATGAAACTTAAATTAAACAGTTCATAACGCTTGTGTCGAAAGCTCTACCTATCGAGCCGAGCTGATGCTGATCAAAAATTGTCTTAATCTAGAGATTTAAGGAATGGCAAAAGGCGAAACTTAAGTACTAGCAATGAATCACTCCACTTTTTGACAACCAACGACAAATTTGTAAATCCGTAGAAGAACGTGTTCGTAACAAACACTTTTCCCCTCATTGGTTTTCAAATTTGCAAAACACCAGCAAAGTTGTGACAACCATCGCCACATGTGTAATTACCGACAGAGCAGCGCAATTTGGGATCAGTTTAAATTTTGTGTTTACAACTTGTCAACCCTGCAGCGCTCAGCATGATGCGAGAGAAATCGAGCGAATGGCCTTAAGAAGCTGGTTGCTGCATTTATCGCACGCCTCAGTGGCAGATGTAATGCATGCTATATGAAAGGCTAGAGCGCGTACCCCCTCCTTCTCCCACGCAAGAATTGAGATACTTAGCAGGAAAAGCGTTCAACTTCCCATGGAACTTTGAGATCCAGATATATCGATAGAGCTTCAAACGCTGATTACAAATAGGGAAACTAAAACTGCAAAATGAATCATCTGCTAAGGAATTTGTGAAGGTTGGCCAAAGTAAAGCATTATGAAACTTGCTAGACCCTAAGCTTTCAGTCGCCGCGGAGTAATGAAAGTGGAAGTGGAAGCGTTTTGTATCAACCGCGGCCCTTAACAAGGAAGTCATAATTCCTCTTCCCGTTGGAGCGCAAATTCGAGAGCACTACCACTACTCCACGGCGACTTTGAAAGCCCGGAGGCTAGTGTAATGCTTTACTTCCAGCCAACTTTGACTGCTCACAACTTCCTTGGCAGGTTCATTTTGCAGTTTTAGTTTCCATATTTGTAATCAGCGTTTGAAGCTCTATCGATATATCTGGGTCTCATCAAAGTTCCATGGGAAGCTTGAATGCCTTTCCTGGTTAGTGTTTAGTCATCGTTAGTTAAATGAAAATCATGAACTGTTTCGTTGAATTAGTCACTTACTTGGAGAACTTTTTTTTTCAAGCCATGACTAACAACTACTCTTAGAACAAAATGAAACCGGCACGTATTACACAAAAACAACATCGTCAATGGCCTCCATAATGGCTGTAGCGGGTTCAAATTGACCTCTTTTTAAGTGCGTACCTACCTAAAAATACTACCCAAAGCACTCTTCGTGAAAGATGCAACCACGCGGAACGGATTCTCTTTCGTCCGTCATTTTGCCTACCAGAAATTCTCTGCCTGCTGCTCTGCGCACTCCTTTTTCATCTCCCTCCACTAAACTACAGTAAACTTTACAGCAATGTTACCGCTGAGACTAACGCATTTCATCTTGATGAAACCGAGCTTCCCATTCTTCCATTGGAAAAAGACCTTGAAACTCCGCACCAAGCCACAACATGAAATATGATCAGAATTCGAGCTCGAGACTAAGTTGTTGAGTAGAGTCGCCGTTTTTTGTCGCTATTCTCGTCACACTACAAATTTGTCTAACTACTCCATTCCATCAGCTGAGACGACTTCTGTCACTCGTTAAGTTGCGGTAGCAATGAGATGGTGGCGATTGTAGATGTTGGACGGCGTGACCAATTAGCCACGGCAGTTAGCCAAGCGATCGCTCAGTATGATACGAAATAATCATGGTGGACACTAACGACGCAACTGATCGGCGTTGATCGCCCGCTACAACACATCAAACCAATCAAGCTATTAGTATCACAGACAAATGAAAAGAAGTCAGGAAACAGAATAAAAGGAATGCGACGAGTGCGCTAACTGAAGAACACACATACGAACAAAAACGAGTGCTATGCGATGTAGGAAAGCATTCAAAATAGAAAAATAGAAGCATGTTAACGAGGCACTATGGGAAGCAAAAAATGTGGCCATTACAAGCAAACCAGATCCACGTCCAACATGGACAACAAAAAGAGACCATTCGGGTGGCGCAAGTTTGCGCGACATTAAAAGTTGCCGACCACTATATGATTCACTGCGTCCCCAAATGAGCCTGATTCAGAACAATGGACGAACGCACTATCATCTAGTGTCGAACGAATGGGATTTTCTTCAACATTTTCAAGTAAAACTACGCAGAAAAAGTTGAACAAAACATACCCCAAACCAATTTGACGTTTTATCTCGTATTTCTGCAGAGGATCCCCTTGATTAACGATTTGCCGCAACTCTTCTAACACCTAAATTACAAGCCTTTTTGAGATGAACCGAACATCATATTGGAACATCAAAAATGAGCACAACTAATGTAAAGTTAAAATGAACAAAAAGAATACACCCCCCCCCCCCCCCCCCCCCCCCCCCCCCCCCCCCCCCCCCCCCCCCCCCCCCCCCCCCCCCCCCCCCCCCCCCCCCCCCCCCCCCCCCCCCCCCCCCCCCCCCCCCCCCCCCCCCCCCCCCCCCCCCCCCCCCCCCCCCCCCACCCCCCCCCCCCCCCCCCCCCCCCCCCCCCCCCCCCCCCCCCACCCCCCCCCCCCCCCCCACCCCCCCCCCCCCCCCCCCCCCCCACCCCCCCCCACCCCCCCCCCCCCACCCCCCCCCACCCCCCCCCCCCCCCCCCCCCCCCCCACCCCCCCCCCCCCCCCCCCCCCCCCCACCCCCCCCCACCCCCCCCCCCCCCCCCCCCCCCCCCCCCCCCCCCCCCACCCCCCCCCCACCCCCCCCCCCCCCCCCCCCCCCCCCCCACCCCCCCCCCCCCCCCCCCCCCCCACCCCACCCACACACACACACACACACACACACACACAACAACACAAATAACTTCAAACGCCCTGTGCATCCACGTCATTTTTTCCTCTCGCGTCTACCCCGTCGCACCCGAAACCCCGCCGAACAAGGCTTCATTGTCTCAGCTCAGAATAAGCTACTGCAGTTAATATCGCATTCGCCAGAATAATCACAGCTGCCAGGCCCACCCGCCGGTCAGAATTTCCTTCATAGAAAGCCAATCTTCACCACCGGTCAGAGGTAAAACCAACGTTGAACCAGATCGCCATAAAAAGCCATAGCTGTAAAGAAAAAACAGAATAGAGTCATATTGCAGAAAATCTAAAACTATCAGATGAGAACTGTTTTCAAGAGACAAGGTGCCTCATGAAAAGGAGAGTTCGCCGCTTTTCAACGGCGGACACCCTCTACCACAAGACGCCTTAAATGAAGAAAAAGTGGATAGTCTCACATCAGAATATGAGCGGTTGTCTACTTCCGATGAAACGGACAAATCACAGACGCTACCACCTTCAGAACCAGAGATGCCACAAATATTCGGCCGGAAGCACGTACGGAGACAACCTACGGAGTGGCGGAAACAACATGTCGGACCGAACCAGACTTTAGCTGCACAACACTGGCATAACATGAGAACAGACTCTGAATATCCATACTGACCACTTTGAAAGTACCACTCAGACAATAAAAAAATAGTCCTATATCCATGAGCACGAACACACTGCCTTGACATTCATAATAATAATCATTACTAACCCATCCAACTAAAAGCCAGAATGAGAAAACCAGATAGGCGACTCCCTGTCCAATGATATAAGCAGAAGCAATAAATTTAAAGAACCAGTAACAGATCCTACCAAAAGCTCGTTGCCAATGTGGCTGATGTAAGCGCCCCACGGCGAGAGAACACTAAAAATCAGTCTTACGGTGCCAATACCCCAATCGTAGCCAAATAGAAATAGTACGTAAAGATTCGCCATTAGAGTAGGATTCTAAATCCGTCAGCAACAGCTGCAGAATGGCAGGTCGATGGGACAAACGCCAAAAAGATGGCTGATCCAATTGAACAGACCAATTATCTGATCAACAGGAAAGCCATATAAAGACGCTTCAACAAATACACCAAGTTAGCCACACCTTCTCCGACCAAATCCCGATGACGCGACAACCCATTACTCCGCGCCAAAATCAGCATCAAAATGACAGCACTCTGAAGATATACCAAAATGCGAGTCGCAATCAAAAGCAGTGAAACAGTTCACATCCCCCAACAAAACAAAACCCCCACCAGTCGAAACTGCAAAGTTCAACTAAACGCTCGAAGTTGTTCCGTCATTATCGCGTTGAGAATAATAGAGGTACGGTAACGGAGAAACCGACACGACAGAGAAGAAAACACTCCACTACCTGACATAAGCAAGGGCGGAGCCTTCGCGTCCGCCCCTCATGACCGGTCTAGCTACGACGACCCTATTTGGCGCGATATCTGCCAGAAAATAGCTTGCAAAGCACTACAAGATGGGTGGTGAAACGTCGTTCAAAGAACGAGCCGCGAACCAGACGTCGACAGGTTGTTTATTTCGCTATGCGCTCTATTACATCTCGTAAGAATGAAACCGTCTTGATTCATTGATCATTACCTGAGATTCACGACAGCCATAAAACATATGAAACATTTATGACTGCAGGTGGTCGAAAAAATGGATCAAACGACCCATTCTTCAAAAGGATCTTATTTTGGCAGCGTTTTGGTGTAGAAATTCATAACAATACTTTAGATCAGAAACATACCGCAGGCTTTGGAGGAACCTTCGGTGGAACCTTGTGGTGAGTATTTGGAGTCTGAGAATTCTCCGTCGCAATAGCCTGGAACGTTACATAATCATGAGCGTTCACTAAAATGATTGTTCGGGCAGTTGGACGACAATACGCTACACCCACTCTGAGAGACTACATTTACTGATGAGCTGGTATTGATGGTGTCCTCACCCCTAGAAGGAGAATAGGATTCATATACTTTCTATTTCCACGCCCCTTGAACGCTTACAAGGCACAAACTAACACTCCCCAAACCACACAGACAGGCTTCGGAGACCACTCATTCGAGCACCACTCAAACCTCAGTGTTTGTCAACCAGGTGTGCAGTCCAACAAACGCTGATCCAAAAAAAAACGTAAATTCACACATGCAAAAATCTGGGAGCATTGTTTAAAATCCTCTTGAAAAAACTCAAAAAGGCTGACTGATGACCAACATCCGTCAGAATTTCTTCATAGAAAATCCCATTTCGATTACAACACCTTTCTTACAAAACATTTAGAGATATCAACAAGAAAAACCCAATAGAACCACTGGTAAAGGAAGTAATTGCTAAGACACTGATTGCCTCCTAACTTACTAGGGGGATGACCTCGTAGAAAACATTGACTGGGTTGAGCTTATACAACGTAAGCACCAAATTATTACCTGCGCTTCTATTGAGCCAATCTTTAATAATAGTGGATCTGACTTCTTGTAACATATGATTTTAGCGCCATCACACATTTTCCAATGTAGGACAAGGCCACTTTTTGCACACCCCAATATCCATCCAATTCAAAATCACTTTGTTTTTCGCTTCGGGCCTCTTGCAAACAAGGTCACTCGTCAAATTTGAAAATTCGGTATGACTGGGCTGGGAGGGAGCAAATGGTGACAGCTGTCGCCGACTAGAGGCACAAAGGGTGGAGGAGTTAAATGGAATAACCACAGCTAAGCGAACAAACTGATGAAGAAATACAGCCCGCACAATCGGGCAAGAAAGCAGGGCCAAACAAACTTTCTCAAATGAACTCTCAACAAAGTCAGTAGTTTCTGTGTGATCACCTTCAAAAACAATAACGCCCCAATTACCCAAAACCGACGAAACGTGACAGAAATATCAATCACTTTGTCACAACTTCTGGAAAGGACCTAAATGACGATGAACTTCACACAACAGCATCAATGGATTTTTACGACTTCTGAATAAAAACCAACTTAACACGCAGCAAATTTCACACGATGGAAATTGCAGCCACTTCGTTGCAACGAATTTCACAAAGACTGAAGTCTCCAACAGAAAAACAGTGACAACAATGGCCATCATTAACGTCATACTTCGAACGGAGAACTCCAGATTTCGCACCGAAAATATCTTCTGAGGTGCCGGATATAACTACCAAGTTACAACTTGGAAAGCGTCGATAAACCTACGACCAACTGCATACCACACTCAATAAAACAAGAAATAAGACTATATTATAACAAGCAAAGCACGAGTAGCTTAGTAGAGACGTGTATCAGCGGTTTTGAGAAAAGTTCAATAGATCTCGTTCCGAAGTCTACATGATGGCACCTTCGAAAAATCCAAAATCGTTCCTCAAATGAGTCTTACCAAAAAAAGTTATGCAATCAAGAACGTTGTTAGAAACTGAGTTACAACAATGAAGGAGTAAATGTCATGATATAGCGCAGTAACTCGAAATGATACGTTTCCCCGCAATTTTCACTTGACTGTAAGTCAGAAATTAGAGCTTTGTAAGAAGCATTACATACAACTTATGTCGCAGTCCGAAAATTCTTGTAAAATCGATAGTCCCTGGTTCCTGTTCAGTTGCACGGTGCATCGCCTCCTTACAATACCATTTCTCGGAAAATTTCGCGGACTACGAAATACAATTCTAGTCATCACTTCCACAGATCTATCTCAACCCTGCTGCTTGATTGCTGACCTTCAGAAGGCAAAGGCATCGTTCTGATATGATTTCTCTAGTGTTGCCACAGCCTTGACCCACTCACTTCCACCCCCAAAAGAAACTCGAAAAAGCTCTTCAGAAGTGCTCTTGACTTTTGACAAAGTTAGAATTACTTCAAAACTTGTTCACGAATCGAAAACAACAGAATCATAACCACTCCAGGAATAAATCTATTCCTACGAACATTGTCATAAATATGACTGCGTGCACCGATTGGAAAGAATATGAGCTATTGTTGAATGTAAAGGTAGGCGTGAAATATGTTCGAAATTTTATGAAAATTCTCAATATCCTTGAGAACTCCCATCTGGAAATGAAGGTAATTGAACGTACACTCAATCGCAACAACATAAAATCAATCAGTTCTGCGCAACACCATTTTTCCAGCAGTATAACAGAGCGTTAGTGTAGAAGTTCAGACCAAAACACGAAAATGGTCTGACACATACCAAAGCTGGATTGTGAAAGCACACAATACTTATCCGATATGCACTAGAATAATACAAGTTGCTCCAGACAATCCGGCGACACCCTTTGTCCAACATTCTTGATTGAACCTCATCTGCAGTGAGATGGCGAGATTCAGCCAGCGAGCGACGCTAATATTTATCACCGGAAGCATTTAGGAGACGTGCCCTTTTTCTGCAGCAACTTCTCAACCCTCCTATCTTGAGAAATCCGGCGTTTGCTTCGAAAAGAAGCGCTTCATCCAATTTTCGAGGTGACCTCAATCATTGGATTTTTTCTCTTCGAGGTAGCGCTTCAGTGTACTAATTACGCAATATTAGAAACGACTAAGTCGGGCGAGTAAGCCAAGCACTGCAAAATTTCCCGATCAAAATCCACGATCTCTTCATATGTAATCCTTCGCCACATACAGATATGGGTTAGGTGGGGTAACACCGTATCGAGAATTTCTGCGTGAACTTGACGCATGGCTTCGGCCAAATTTCGAAGGTTGTTAAAGCCGACAATGGTCGTCACCGTGGTGCAGGTATCCAGCAGCTTTCTGTAGAGAATCAGTTTGCAACCTCATCAGAAACACTAAAAAGTCCTTCTTGACGAAGGCCTGCTTTTGTTTGCAGGCAGCTTTCCTCCTTGTCGAATCCAGTAGTGCTTATGTGTATAGTTTAGTCAAGGCCAGAGCTATCTTCATTAGCCATCATTTTTGTCAAGAGATTCCTTTGATGCGAAAGAAGAAGAGAAATCTGAATCATGGTCACACGGTTCGCCTCCCCAGACTGGCGCAACCCATGTGGTGTCAATGGCGAACATACTGATCTGTAACCGAGATCGTGCAGATCCTCGATAATTGTCGAATGAATGCATCTAAGCGTGGTTGTTAACCTACGACTGGTAGCAATCGGCTGCGCCTCTAGGAAGTTGAGTAAACGCTCGTCAGTCATCATCTACTGCTGCCGTCCAGCTCCGTGCCTCACTTCGAACAAAATATCTCCAGTTGCGAGGGAATAGGGCCAACGGGACACCATGGCCTAGTGAATGACATCCCTCCTGACTACAGCACAGATGCTAGCTGCAACGACACAAACGGAGTGGCTTTACAGGAGCTCGAAAAATAAAATAGGTCAAAAGATGATTGAGAAGAGAAGTTTGAAGCAGTCAAACGCTGCACGAGGCCTTCATTTACGCTTCTGCGGAATCCTCCGAAGACACACTGCAACAATCAAATGCCAAAACTAGTGAAAACAGTTTTGATTTTTTTCTAAAGAACTTTGTTCAAAGCGTAACAGGATTTTCTGGACAACCCCAATATTTTTGATAACTTACACTGATCCGCGTCCAACTATGAAGTTGCTACATTTTGAGTCTCTACAAATTCTATTAGAATAATGCGTAACACCATGGAGAATTGGTCGCAATCAACCCTAATAACAGAGACTGTTAATCCCTGTTTTGTAAAATGTTTTAACGGCCGTAAGTTAAAGGAATCTTGCGCGGAAAAATCATGATTCTATTTCAGCCATAAATCACTGGCTTGAGACTCATTATCCACGATAATAGTGAAAAGAACTGAAGTATTGCTTTCGTTTTGATTAGAAATTCGAAAACTCGAAAAGGCTGCTACGCGTTCGAATTGCCCACGGACGTCTTTCACGAATGCTGGCGACGGGGATGCTCAAACTTGGTTCTTGGAGTGCATTCACTAGAAGCTCTTTCTGGCCTTCTGCTTCGTTGCATTCACATCTTACACTTCTACTCCATCCTATTCCATCGATCGATTTGTCTCCACTCTCCGAAATCGCGCGCTTTAACCCGATTCTCTCATTGCGTCGCCTGGTACGTAGCCGGCCAAACGCCGTCTTCTTTCCATGCCTCGCCTGGCTCTGCCTCCTGGTCCTTCGATGGTCCATAACGTGTAGTTTTTGTACGTTTGTTTCTCTTCAGAAACCGAATCTTCATGCGTGAAACTTTGTGTGCTATTTCCAGTGATCACAACTGACATATTCATGTTAGGAAAGAGTGCAAGAATTTTCCGCGCAAGATTCCTTTAACTTTTGACGACAGGCCCACTGTGTGTGTTCCTCGACACCCTTTTTGATATTTTTCAGAACCTTTTGAAAAATCTTTGTTACTGGTGATAGGTGTAGCACTTTCTGGATCCGATATTGCAGACGGACATTTTTCTAACATTACCAGAAAAATCGAGCTATGCCCTGTGAAAATGGACAGCGAGTCAAGCTGTCGTCAATGTGGTGTTAAAGTAACCTTTCCAAGAGTGCTACAAACTTTCAAATTCTGAGTCATAAATGATAAAAATTGGAAAGGCGATTATTCCGGTCTATTAGATAGATGACGAAGACAATCAATAAGTATAAGACCAACTCCTGAATTATTGCGATTTTTGAGCAGCCAGAAAAAGGCGCTTCCGATTTCATAATTGCATAGTAATGGGTGACACTGACAAGGATATTGGACGAGTTTCAAGAGAGGACTGACCCAATTGTAACGAAAACTCCGCCATTGGATTTCTTATAGGGAGGATCATTGTTCTACTACTTTTCAATCTGATTGGACCACTTCAACAGGAACTGCGGCAAAATGATGGTTTGCCGCGATGCTGAAACGTGGCGATCATGCAAAAAGTTCTATCGCAACAGTATATTTCAACAAAAACAGAGACGGTTTTATATTGCATCACAGACGATTACAAAGCATTGAAGAAAGGTGCCGTTGTATAGAAAGCACGCTTCCACTGAACTTTTTCAAACTATTTCTGGAAAATAAAGCTTTACAACTAATGAGCCCCTAGAGGATGTAGAGGATCGACCTTCAGGAACAAATGAGTTTTTTTTTTGGAAAACCTGTTCTTTCTCTACTGATATTGAGTAAGTGTCCAAGATTATGGAATAATCTCACTTCTAGACTCGAAGGTGACCACTCAAAAGAATGAAGTATGGTTAGAAAACGGTTTACAAAAACGCAAACAGTCTGGTGTGAAACGGTGTTTTAGTCCAATATTTTTTCCTATCCAGCTCTACTTTTGCTCAATTTCAACCCACAAAAAAAAGAAGTGAAGCAAGATACCTTTGCACGTTGAGGAGGTGGAGGAGGAGGTGGTGCATCTCTTCGAGCAGTCGTCCGCGGATGGATAGGTGGTGGTGGAACTGGTGGAGGCTCGTTTTCTGTTGCACTGTGCTTCCTCTGCTGATGTGGAGGAATCCGAGCAATTTCTTCAAACAAATAGTTAAACGACATCTTGTAAAGAACAGCAAAGTTTGGTAGTAATAATATGACGCCCCTCGCACACATTTGACTATTGATAGAACAATGCTGTTGTGAATTGATGAAATGGGCGCTTTCCTATTTATTACTTCATTCTTGACATTCCAGTCGATAGGAACAATAGTTTATCGAAATTTCTAATGTTGAAAACAGATTGAGAGACCACCAAAGTGAGAAACGGTCGAGAGGATATGCTCGACAAAAATTGTATTCGCCTCAGTAGGTGTAGAGTCGTAATCGTAGGGGTCGTAACAGACACACAGCTGTCACTCACTAATATGGGTGGTTTACTTGGCGTAGGTAGAGAAAATGCTAAAACTGCACAGAATGAAATTCAAAGTGCTTGTTAGGAACAATTAACGGTGGTCTTCCCAACCAATGCAATCAAGGAAAAGAAACAGGTTTAGCAAAAAGGAGTAGTAGGGGCTGGACAGTAAATGTCGACTTCAGAATTAGCTTTGATGTTAATCTTTCTTCATTTATATAATAATTGCCACGGGCTATTTGCTTTGAGCACTCGTCACACGAGTTGCCCTTAGCTCTGTTTGAAGGATTTCCTGACTATGAGGCCAGCTTAGAAGACCGTACACGGCTTTCTTAATCCTGAGAACTGAAAATCACCTTCGTGACACCACTGCTTACCGAGAGGGAACTGCGTCATTTTCAGGATTGGGAGTCACGACTAGCATGCGAAACTGATGGGACCACGCCATGGTCGTAGGAATTACTTATGGTAACTAACATTACGAACAGCTTCTGGCTGACACTAGCAAACCGTCGTAACACCTTCCAGATGACTCAGAACGGGAAGCGATTGCATGGCGCCACCGAGATCACCACGTCCCATTTTTTTTTTGCCACAGCGTATAAATGAGAGTTCCGAGTAGCTCGAGGTTTTTCTCGACAATTTCTCGCGCATTTATCGAGAATCTAAGAGCGTCAGAAATAGTTCCCAGGTGGCGTATTCAAAAGAGAAAATCGCCTGCTTTACAACGCCCCTTTCAATTTTAAACATCGTCACTTGAAGAGAGTTATAGTCTCTCGAAAACAAAAACTCGCACGTATATCTTAACTTCCTGGACAGGTCGTCGACGAATACATCTTGCAAAGTAGATCCCGTTTCGAAATAAATCTCAATGTGGATTAGAAATTAATAAGCTTCTGAAGCGCTCTCTACCCCTCTACCCCTGCTAAGCTTTTTCTTCTTCTTTCTTCCTTTCCCTTGCTTGCTTCATCTTCGCCTCTCGCACAACCACTCTCATCATTTCCCTCTTTCACTCGGCTGTTAGACACCACGGAAAAACTTAAGCTCTATCGTGTCACCGAAGTACTTCACCAGGCGCGACCCGTGCACCCGCAACTCGAGGAGTTAATAACAAAGTGCAGCTATCCTTGGACCACAAAGTGCTCTCTTGGAATAGTAAACGGAGACTTGGGAAAGAGAAAGCTCTCTGCTGTAGAACAAGAATTTAAAAGACCATGAGATCACGCTTATCAATTTGGAAGAAGTAGAATTAGTCGAAATATGTGGTCATAGGGGCCCTGATCTACCACAGCTCCGCTCTAGATATTCTACAGAGATCTTTTGTAGGCCATTCCGACATTAACATCCAGAATTTCGCTGTTCCAAAAAAAGCAGGATCTGTCAATGCGATGGAAAATGGAACGTTGTGCCAACGACAAAAATTTCGAGTCCAGACGTAAAAAAAATCAGAAAACAGGGAAAGAATGGTAAAGGAGTGCACTGAGTTGATAAAGCTCAATTTGGCAGATCCGCCCGCGGTGGGCGGAGTGTTTTGTGAATGGGCGGTGCTTGATTAAATAATCCGTGACTCGGTTTGAAGTCTATGGAGCAGAAGGAGCAGAACAAAATCGATTTAGAAGAGCGATATCTAAGGTATTCCCAACAATCCGGTCGCGAGCGGGAAGCAAGCTAACAATGGGCGGTGCGTGCCCCCAAACGGGCGATGTTCATTCCAGACCCTCATAACTCGGTTCAGACGTCGCAGAGTTTAAGAATGTTACCAACATACACACTCGGCTTCTTTAGCAGCGACCGGATGGGGTCCACCAAACCCATAACATTATCGTCCATGGGCATTGAAGCCGTGCCTTCTCCCTCGACATTCGAGTTTAATACACTGGTTATGGCTGTATGCGCCGTCCAAATTAACCTGTTTCCTCCCAAAATAGCTACCAACACCACTAGACCGTTTTGCATTATCTAAGGTGAATAACACGATAAATCACCTCATACCGATAGTGCGCGTATGGAGTGAACTCGGGGCTCTGTGTATTACTGCATGTTACGTGTTGGTGTGATAGGTACTAGTTGCTCGCTACAATAAATGGCAGCAATGGCTTCAAAGAACACGTCAGTCAGAGTTGACTTGGTACACAATTCATTGCTACCCCATTACCCACACGCCTTCATCGACGTTGACGTCAGCGCAAACGATTCGAGCTTTGTGCGCCTCTCCAGAAAGCTTTTCCCAACTGATTCTGATTCCTCCGTATTCTGTGGCTTGAGAACTTCTACTGTGTGGCCAGATCAAGTGAAAGCGTGGAGCGCTTTTCCTCAACCACGTTGGCGACCAAGCGGATTTGAGGGTGTCTGCAGTGTGGGACCACGGAAAACCAGCATGTATTTTTCTTGCAGAAATTTTCAAAATAGCAAGTTTAATGCGCTGATCACGAATATGGCATTGATCTGGAGCGCTCGCGTCATTTGGCACCAAGTTTGGCTCTTAATTGGCACTATCTTGGCGCCACGATATTTCCCTTGTCAAATTCGGCAAACACCTATATGTGGTAGTTATTCCCTCCGCTGAACACGAATAACCCTGGTCACGGACTCGAATCTTGCGGCGCCGAAATGGCTTCAACTGGCGCAAATCGAAAGTCTGCAACTTGAGAGGCATCGGTTGTACGCGGGGATCATTATAAGACCGAATGAAGACGACGTTTCGAACATGCAAGTAAAAGCGAACGAAGTGAACGCCAATCTGCGGACTGAGGAAGATGTTCTGCGAGACCAGTCCTCCTTCGATAAGAATGTGAACTTCATAATGATGCTGCTGAGACAGCAGATGCTGTCGAGGCTGTATAGCATGCTTTCCGACGAACATGGTAGTCACTACATTAGATCACACATAGAAAAGTGGGAACTCGATGTAGTACTTGTGGGGGCTTCTTCTGTATTGAATACTTCCAAACGCGCCACAAATTGTAGGGAGAAATCTCAACTGCTGGTTGCGTTATATATGTTTAGTGTTATTTTTGAAATGTTGTAAAACGATATCATGTGAAAAACCTAAGGCAAATGAATATTATTAGCCTTACAGATATAGAAGTGAATCAGAAGAAAGAAAAAATATAAGCATTTCAATAAGTTGGGGTGTCGCCCGACATCGGGTGCCATCGTCCCACGCGGCAGAAAAGGTGTCGCCCGACGTCGGGTGCCATTGGCGCCCGTCTGTTAAAATAGTGCGGTTACTGACTGCCATATTTTTGAAAGCCCTGATGTACTTTTTCACTCCCAAATGTGTTCCGCCTGGCATGACACTACAGAACATAAGTTACTTTGCAACCTATTTTGATGGAAGCACAACGTAGAAAACCAATTGATCCTATACCTTCAGACCGACAGTCCGAAAATCGTTTCTTTATACCTTTAGAACGCCAGTCCGAAAATCGTTTCTTTCCCTTACTTTCGGACTCACTCCAACAGCTTCGATGAGGCGGCGCTGGTGAAACTTGAGAGGAGAATTGTACACTTCTTTCAGGAGTTGAAATGGGTTCAACCTACACTTTTTGGACCCTAACACTAGACACGATGACGGAGTGATTGTATGATAGTTCACCTACAGAATGCCCAAAGTTGGAGAGTCTAAGTTGATTTCAAGCTTTAAAGAGCGAAATATGGTTGATCTTCGATGAAATAATCACGACAAACTCACTGCTGATGACAGAATGCAAATATAAAAAGAATCGCAAAAAAATCTGATTCGGATTTGCGATTCCCCCCCCCCCCCTTAAGAATTTGGACATCGTAACGTCTTCACATTATCACTGATCAGGTCGAAGAGACCACTCCTTCTAGGCTGTGTTGGACACGTGAGAAAAAGAAAACCTCTGCTACAAAATTCACTTGTTGGTTAGATTCGAGAATTCGAAAAAACACGCCTTATGGTAGCGCCCTCAAACTACTAACAATAGACCTCGGATCCTCGTCCTTTAGCTTATAACAAAATCTAAGAAATGCATAGAAAGGGAACTGAGAATTTCTGATTTTCACTCGTACCGCAGTCAACAGTCAAAGTCAAAACAGAAAGTTACAGATTGTGTGGGCGCCTTCTTTAAATTCTACATCCCCTTACCTGTTGCGCAGTCTCGTGTACTATTGAACGATGGAGCAGGAGAAGGAACACTACGATCCGCCATGGAATCATCGGTGGAGGACAAGCTTAGTCCAGTAGGTTTCGATCCAGAATTCGATATGGTTCCTAAAACTAGAACAATTACACAAAAGAGATGTCTAACAGTGAATGAAGACAAGTACAATTGGGAACAGTAAACTAGAACAAAGTAACTAAAGAAGTAAACGGTCCGACGCACCATTGATACCTGAAGGTGTAGGAGCAAGCGTATGATGTCCAGTAACTTGGCCATTTAATTGAATTTCAACATCATCACAGTCTTCATCACTAGGATTGTACACACTGGTTGTGGTCATGAACTTCGCCTTCTCTTTTTCCTTCATGGAAGCGGCATAGAACCGCAACGCTGTTACGACTGCATTGGGATTTTTCTTCTGATCAGCTTCACTGTAAAATGTTTGCTTGCAACAGTTCCTACTAGTGCAGTGATGTCCCTATTCCGACCGACCTGATATCCCGAAGCAATGAATCCATCCACGTGTCCGGCAGTCCACTGAATTTCTGTCCATCGTAGCCAACATGTATTCTGAAACAGGCTCTACTTACTGCAGAACTATCTGATTCTGCACATAACGAGAGCCGAACAAAGATCAATTAAATACTGTTTTTCAAACGTCCCAGGTTGAGCAGCTACCACAAGATGAAATTAATCAAGTAAAACGCCATCAAAACGATTCTCAACACCAACTTCTGACCAACAAAACATCGAACAAGACCTCTGCCTTTATTAGCGTAATGAGGCTAATTGCCCTCGTTACAGGTATTTTCGTTCCTTACACTCCATGAAGCACATTTTATTACTATCCACTACTAAAAGCAGCTCGTATGAAGTATCGGACCCAAAAAGCAACGTATTCATCACAGATAATAAAAATTTATCTTTCAAAAAATTGAGCGCTTGTCATCAGATCATTTTGCATGTTATAGGAGCACGTACGGAAAAGAGGGCAGGTCTATTTTTTCCTGAGCTGCTCTGGGAACGCCAAAATGATGAAAATATTTGCAGCTCAGTATGGAATGGATGTGTAACGAACATGCGATTCTGGGATCACATGATCGAAATTACCAAACGAAAAATCGCAAGGATAGCGAAATAGCGGTATCACAGAATCACAAACTATAACCGTGGCCTGAAAGAGGCAAAAAGGGGTGTAGAAATGAAGTTTACTTACTGTTATTGTAGTCACCTCCCACACAGGCCCCCTTTCAACAAAGTTCTAGTGTTTTGAAGGAATGAAGGTGCTAATGTAAAGAATTAAAAAGGAGTGGAGTAGGAATAGGGTGCAGATGGTCACGTTCACAAAAGCTACCCATCAGCTACTCGATTCTGATTCCAAAATACATTGCGGAAAAGATACTGACCCTTTGCCTAAATTTTTGACCCTCCCCGACGGCGTGTTCTTGGAAAGAAGTGGAGTAACTGTGATCACTGATGGATGTCAGACTCGGCGACGTGGGACGCGGAGTCTAATATCGGCCTATCGATTGAATTATACAGCAGCTATGACAAAAGTAATCAACGGCTTCGCGATATACTAGTCCGAAAAAAATAGCGCAGTGTTACAGAGATTGAAGAAAAGCACCCCTCAAAATTAGATACATTTGAAGAGATTCCACAAGAAATAGCTTTTGAGTTGCATCTTTTGCAACTGCATCAAGAATGGACGCAATTTAACTGGCTAGGAACGCCAAAAACTGAACATGCAAATTAAATAAGGAAATTCCCACTCGAATTGACAGTGAACGCAATCTCAGCCAAAAAAATGGATTACTGAACTGATTCTGAAGTACAAAACTCTTATTAAAGCAAGGAAGATAAGCCCAAGGGATTTGGGACATTAATCGGTGCAATGCCGGAGAAGCGGGATTCAAGTGAGGCCGACAAAGAAGGGGCGACACCGCAATGTTCTCACTTCGTGTTTATTTGTTAAGTCAAGCACAAGTTCAAAGTCTGGAATAAACTCACCGATGGACGGTATTGTAGGGCTGGCTAATGTCAAGGCTAGATGAAGGTTTCGAATCGTCACTTGAATCCCCTTTATCCTTCTCACTACTCGTACCAGGCGAAAATATACGACCGAAGAAATTGCGCACTCTAACCTGGAACAAATTTGCACATAAAAATAATCTAACAAGTAACCTGAAACCGGAAGACAAACACGCACAAAAGGACAGAATTAGTACAAATCTAGTGGTGGTAAAGAATATCGACTAACCTTAGATTTCTCCTTTGGTGTGGACATGCCAGAAAGTAGCAATCGACTAATGCTACACTCTAAGTAAATCGTGCGCGAACCTGAAAATGCGCCACATTATTAGAATTGAAAGAAAAATTGAATACAAATCGCAAAAGACGACACGTCATGCTTAAAAACCGAAACGATATGAAGAAGAGGCTTTAGACGACAACATTATTAATTGTAAAGTGGAAACGGAGGAAATTCAAACATTGTGGTCGCTTTAAGAAAGGTAATGAATGAATCACGAATCAATAATTGCGAGCACAGACACATAGCCGCACTCGTGAGTCATAGTCAACACCCACAAGTTTGATCAGCACGGGAATTTCTTAAAAACTGTGATGTGAACTTTCAACGAAGCATTCTTCGACTTCACGTCCGTCCATTCGCTAAACTAAACGCCGCTTGCTAATCGATAGTAGCATAACCTGGTTCAAGGACAGAAATTGCAGGTTGTTAGACGTGTAAGAACACTGCACGGGACAGAAATTTTACAACGAAACCCTGAAATTGTGTTGAAGCTGTTATGTGCGAGAGCTACGTACAAGTTAATCGATTGAAACGAGTCGTACTATTTTCGAAGTGTAAACAAGTGGTGCATTACACTAATTGGTTTCTTTAAATTTAAAGCACCGAGATCTCGACAACACATAACGCTCTTCGAAATTTCCAAATAGAGTCGGTCTTCAAAAAGGAACAATAGTGCCACGATGTCGTTAGAGCACCCATCGAGAAAAAAATATTTCAAGTAAAGAAGGGAACTCAAATTAATGTTTAGGTGACGTTGATGACTATACAAAAAAAATAATAATAATATACAAATTCAAGCCGTTGCTGAAACTTCTTCCTTTCTGAACCGTCTTGTTCCCGCGATTTCCTCTTTTTCCGTGACGCTTTACTTAGGAAGAGGAAACACCAGATGCACAATGATAAATCCCACTCGGTCTCACCCGAGTGGGATGCATTCAGAAAGCTATTGATTATGATGTCCAGTATTTGTTATATGCAGACTATTTTCTGGCGCTCACAAAACTGTCGATGTGTTGGAGCAGGCGGCTTGGTCATGCACGATTGTGGCTTTACGACTCCACATTCTTACAGTTGATACTGTCGGATGACATGAATTTTGCGGCACAGAGCTCCGATTTCACCTCTGGACGATACGTATCTAATATTGTGTATCTAATTCCTAACATCTAAAAAGTCACTTATCGCTTATCGACGATACCTTTCACAAATAGCCATTCATAGAGCCGAGTCACTAAAACCACGCGAAGGAAACTGACTTGGAAATAGCTTTTCCATAAGCTCTACGAAAAGGGGGTGGGATCGTAAAAAAGAGGCAGAGAAAAATTGAAATGCTTCCGATTGCGTGAATGAGCATTACAACAGGCCACTTAGGTTCGCTATCGTTGCTAGCTTTTTCTGCTCGTTTCAAGTGCAGCGGCGAATGTGCTCTGGAGATTTCCTCTTCTTTTCCACCATTCCCTATTTCATTGCGATACCGCCACCACTGCTTTCTTGCTTTCCTCCAATTGTTCGCCCTTTTAAATTCGCCAAGAACTACCTCCATTCACACCCCAGAAAATTCTTTGCCTTATTGCCAGCATCATCCGCTCGTAGTTTCTGATTGACTCTCCTTCTTCACAAAACACTATCTCTTTTCGTGTTCTTTCTCTGCTAACGACCCATTGTTTATAATAATATTAAATCTCCATTTAAAGCGTTTCCTTGGCGATTCTGCTGGCCTGACAATATCCACGGCTCACGCTTACTTTGTTTCGCATTCACTCTCCTCACACCCACTTCCAATAAGAAAGAAAAGGAGGTCTTAACACTCCTCTGACAGGTAACTTCTGGGTGAGTGTTGGCCGCAACCAATGAGGTGATTACCGCGCGAGCTCACCTGCAATGATGGAACCCGGAATTCGAAATATTATTGCGGTGTCTGCCTGGTTCTGCACTGTGGTGTCTTGCTCAGAACGGCGGTGGTAGTCCACTTTTATTCCAGCTCGGGACGATGTGAACCAAACTAGACTGAAGTATCCTTCCAACTGCTATGTTTATGTAAATCGTAGCTTCGACCAAGGTCATAACTCAAACTTCTTTGATCATACGCTACAATCACCTTCTGAAAAATAAGAAGATGTACGGTCACCTGTGGAGACGCGGCTGGATAAGAAACAAAGAGTATTAACAGTCAACTGCACGACGCTCAAACACGGTGATACCCGACCTCACTTTTACCTACACTAATACGCTCAACGGTCGTGTGCTCCTGGAAAGCAGTGAACCTCATATAGCAGCGGGTGTGTCTGTTTATGGCCCCATTAGGATAACAAAGGTACCCAAAGCGCATAAGAACTTACACCCTCTACAGTTGATGGTCGGTGCTCAATCAGAGCGCTCAGAACTGTACGCACAAGGACAGTTTGGGCACGACATACAGAAGTCTATATTTTTGCTGATAAAAGAGCAACCAAACTAGTAGGAACAATCAAGTGAATCATATGTGCATACACAAAACAAGCATGAGTGGAAAAAGAGAAGAAGGAGCGCCTGTGGGAAGTAACGACTACTGGTGAAGCAGCATTTCAGAGATATATTGATAACAGGATATTCAATGAGGACAAAGAATCGCCACAGCAAAAATAACATGGAAAAAAGAAAGAATGTTTTGTTGTAATAATGACAGCTAAATAAAAGATCGCATGCGCAGTTGCAAAAAATAGAAGTCTTTTGGTGAACTTCTTCGCACGAGTGTACCTACCTAACCAGTAATTGTAAAAAAAGCTGCTTTGATCCAGACAACGAGGGCCTTTGAAAGAACCTAATGAAGAGTAAGATTTGGTGAGCAGTTTGGACCCGGAAAGGTGTATGCATAAGACACCACCTTTGTGATAATCATTGTTTCCGATGAAATTCGTGCTTGAACTACGGAGGATAAGGAAGAAACTTTCTTCTTTGCATTGGTGTTAGAGTCCACCTACCTTACAAAAAACATGAAAAAAAAAACACTCACTAAGATAATGAAGTCTAACACGTCTTAAACACACCTCCATATGTGATCAGACCGCTTTGAAAAACAGAGCACGGGTTCATTTAATAACAGCACAACTACGAACACTCTTGAATCACTGTTGAACCACAGGAAACACGTCTAACAAGCGTGGTGTGAATTCACATCATCAACATGAAGAGTACAATTTCCCTATAACTGAAAACAGTGAACAATGCGAAGACTCCATGGAAGATCATAAGCAAATATCGCACACCTCAGCCTGCTGTAAAACGGTCTGAAGAGAATAAATGTAACAATAAATGCATAATCAGTGACCAAAATAAAATTAACTCACTCTCCAAAATATCACGAAACCGACTAGGCGCTCTCCATTTCAACACACACCGCAAAAAACTTACCGAATCCTTGCCCGGCCAATCGCAACACTCCTCACATCTCACCAAAAAACACTGAACTCCGTTGCACCTACACTCGCAGCCATCACTAGGTAGCGAGCCACCGACGAGTTTACACCGTGTCGAATCATTTCCCACTTCGTCCACAAATATACCAAAAATACGCGTTTCGGGATCTTACTATAGACTCAGTTTCTATTTTCTCGCATTCAAATTTCCTTGAAACAATCAATCTATAGCATAGGAATATTCGAAAAGTCTCAAAAGGGTGCCCCTGCAACCGCCTTTCGCCTGGAATGATCTTAGCACCATATTGCATCGGAATTGAAAAAAATTCAAAATTTACCAATATCGGAATGGTCAGACACAAAAAGGTCACAAAGATATTCTTACGTAGAAGCGCAAGATCCACATTCTAGGTCGCGCAGCCGCTGCCCCTTGGCACGATATCCACATACAAAAAGTAAAGGTGCATATGTTAACTCCCTCATACAGAACCACTAGGCTGTGTACCTCTGCAACTGAAGATGACATTTCCATACTCGTTTTGGAGGGTTGCTAATATCGAACCGCAAGAATTTGACGCATCATGGCGTACACGCATCAGTAACATGTTGCTTCACATCTCAAACTTCTTTCCTTCTACAACTCTTCAAATTCCACACGATTTCCCACGGTTGATCTGAGGGTATGTGAAAGAATGTAACAGCTCCCAACAAATTTATTTCCAAGAAAGCAAGAAAACTCACTTTGACAAGCCACAACCTCTGCTGGTGAATCGGCGAGGACCCCCCGCCATATCATTCCGGTAAGAAGTTCTCCCATTCAATGGTAGAACAATGAGGTTTGCTGCGATAGCTGAAAGCGATCCAGGCGAAAGCGTTACCCTTCACTAAGCTAACTCACAAAACATATCTCAAATCTGAAGTCGCAAACAGAAAACAAAACTCACTAAACTCCTATTCAAAGTTCCAAAATCTGTTGAAAAGGACACACCTAATCAATCATTCTGTTCGGCACCAACCATGACAAAATAATCCGTAGCGAATTTAACCATTCGTGACAATGGCAGCCACCGGTGGCTGACAAAGATCTCACTCGGGACAATGGCATCCACCGGTGGCTGCCGTGTTTCAAATGGAATTTGGAAAGTTTTCTTTCCTGAAAAGAATCTTCATACCCTCATTCATCTACGCCAGCCCTGGGCAGAGGAAATCTCCATCCACTCAAATTTTATTGAAGAAAAATCTCCTGACTCTCTGCTATTGCGCAATCCCGCGCGGTCGCGAATGGGTTAATAATCAAGGTGTTGGCCCTCATTATCCGCGACATCTCTCCATTTATTGCGCAAAGTCCTGATACCACCACCAAAATAAAGAACGAGACGCGACCTATTCATCGACTGCACGATGACTGTCGCATTTTTATATTGCTGAAGGCTGTGGACTTCAGGGGCGTTATAATAAGAAATCAGGCCAGGTGACATAATGAGAGGGGCAGTCAAGTGTTGCCTAGTTTTTCCAGTTCCTACGCTGTCGCGCGTGATGCGCTTGGGCACTCTCCATAATCAAGTGAAACTTACCTTG